TCGACTCGGGGAAGAAGGGAGAGGGATGCTGGAACTGCGGGCTTGCATGAGGCCTGCGGTGGAGTCTCCCCCTTTCCCCCCCTTGTCATGCCTGCGGATGGACACATTCCTCATCCACACCCATCATCCTCTATTGTATTCGCTCTTCTCCCTGGGATTAATCAGAGTTAATCCCGACGGGAAGGAGAGGAAAGGAAACGCGATTTGGATAGAACTCCGCCCTGTTCACACGTTACGCGTCCCTGTTGAATCACCATCTCATCCAATCCCAATCTCATGAGGCTATTTTTTTTTTCACGAAGAAAAGTTTGCACGGGAAGGCATTCGAGGGTGACAGCCTCATGCTTTTCACCATCGGCAATAAACAAAAAAAATCGGATAACTTTTTTAAAAGTCAAACTGTCAAGGAAAAAAAGGTATTTTTAGATTTTGGAGTATTTGCCTTGCGTCAGGCCGACACAATCGTCGCTTTTTTCCACGTCTAAATGTCCACTTGGGGTGGGTGTGGGTGTGGTATACTTAAAAAAAATCCCTCCTGCTAGTTGTGGGCATAGGAAACCGTTAAAGTGGCCATAAGGAGGCATCATATTCCTTTTCTAGGGAGAAAAGGAATCAGCATATCGATTAGCGTTGTTAGGGGGGGGGTTGTGTCAAGGAGCCGTCAAATAAATTATTTTATTTTTTTGCATTTTATCGATCATATGCAACCTTGCTACTAAACAACCGCTGAAAATTGGTTAGTGTCATGCCCTCTGCGCAGCCAAAGAAAATTTCGGAGTTTCATATAACAGTCCTGATCGAGTCTAAACATACTAATCCAACTCGGTTGAGACCCCTGGAATGCGAGGGAAAATCCTCCTTCCGTGCTGTCATGTGCAGAGAGTGTGCATTAACTCTTCTTGAAAAATTCATGTTTACGTTGGAGAGAGAGGGCTGGAGAAAAAAAAGGAAGATGCTAGAGACTGAATGCAAGCAGACTTTCTATTTTTTCCTTCAACATTGAAAGGACGAGTTCAGAAATGACTTCTCTCCGCGATAGTCCCTGGGGGGATTTACGTCCAGAAAAATGCGAGAGGAGAGAGAGGAAAAAACGAAGAAACGAGACGAAAAATGCGGAGTCAAAGTCAAAGTCAAAGTCAAAATGCTTCTGTTTCTTTCTTCAGCAACGAAAGAGCGAATTTGAGACCCTTCCGGAAATGACTCCTCTTTGCAATCCCTTCTCCCCACCCTCTCCCCCTCGAGAAAATTCAAATCCCGCAGACAATGGGGTGACAGACACTAGACCCGCCTTACCTCAACCTAATCAGATTTAAATCATTGACGGAAACGAGATTAATCCGGATGAACCAGGCCCACACGGGCCCATTTATGAAACCAGATCGGTTTCCGTTTAACCAATTTGGTACACGACACCCGAGGGAAAAGATGGAAATGAATCACTCTCCTTTTCCTTCTCTGTCTCTGCCTTGCTACTCTCTTGCCGCAAGTGAATATGGCCATTTTGTTTCACCTGTTAATATTGCGTTCACCCCCCCCCCCCTTGGAGGTTAGCCGCATGTCCTTCATGTTATGACACAATGCACCTTACTACAGGGTAGGTCCGCAGATATTGTAGTCGGACTTCCTGGCAAAATGACACCCGACTACTGCGCAATTGGAACACAGTGAACCTCCCCATCATGGTGCCATGTTGCTGTTGATTCACGATCCAGACCATGAAGAGGCCTTGTATACCTGTTGCCTGGCAGTCTCATGGTAGCCGAGCCCCATAGCGGCGTAATAACATATACGAGGTATGCCATCGTTTACGTCAACGGGTCTTGACTTTTGGGGATATGGTGTACAGCGCCTGCGCAGGAAGCCTTACAGGTGAAAAAGATTTTCCAGACCATATCTTAACGAAAGAAGCCCAGCTCGCAATCGTAGGTATGCCGATATGGCATTAATTATCGATGAGAACCGTCTCTGTCAATATTGTACGCGGTCTTTCTCCATTCTAAGAACCATCTCACAGGTATCTATTATATATTGTATTGTGCTTTCATTCGTATTCGATCGCAAAACTAGCGGTTGATTTTCCTCGCCGAGAGGGAGAGAGAAAGAGGGAGAGAGAAAGAGGGAGAGAGAGAGACCGACCTAGAAACTATCTTTTGCTGCAAGAGTTGCATGAACTCTGAGAATGGCCTGTGGTTCCGGCCTTCATTTCGCATTCGTACCGGCAGTCCTGCGGCAAATTCGTGGCGTGGTTAACAAGAGCGTGGCGATAGAGGGGCGAGAATCGCACGGGGAAAACACTTTTCTTTTATATCCTGGGGACTTTGTTTGCAGTCGTGCCGCCTGAAATGAAGGAAAAGACGGAAGAAAGGAAAGGGGAATGGATTGGTTTCCTTCTTTTCCCCGTCGGGACATGAATGCCTTTCGGGATAAAGCGGACCTTCGCGCTTTTCTGAAGACGGTTCGTCCGTCGCAATCGAGTTCCTGACGTTCCAATGGATTTCTGGCCAAACGTTATACCGCGACTCGAGGGAGAAGGCAGTAGAACATGATTAAAAGGGTCATATCATAATTAAACGTCCCGCTACAGACGGGGAATTCCTGTCTGAGGAAATCTGAACGTAGCATTTCAACCATTCTGTTGTAATCCTAAGTTTTGACGAGATATTGGCAAACTATTAGTATTTACCTCATCTCAATACCTTCCAAAAGATGGACGGAGAAACGACAGCATCCGGGGGAACACTGAACGCCCTCTCAATGAAGTTGTGACGTCACGTGTGAAGCGTTGTTGTCGGTCAATTGTTTTTGTAATGTCTCCATGTCACTCTCGTGAACGTTTAGGGAACGTCACGCATGGACCAGGTATGTTGTATGAACATGCTCATGTCGTCGCTTTACTTCAGAATAATTAATTCTTCATATATTCCTCAATTAGTATGGCAGCCAGTGTGGGAAGGCTCAAAAGGTAAACATTTGTACCATTTGTATCACATTTGTACCATGCAATAAGATAGGGTGACCAGACGTCCCAGTGTGAATTTTCCTTTCCATCCTGGTGTTCCGGTTTTTTTTTTCCAATTGCAGGGACTAACACTCTAGCATTTTCTTAAAATATCCCAATTTTTCCTGAAAAAAATATGGTCACCCTACAATAACAGCACTTAAGAAATCCTCCTTTTTACATACTCGAAAGCTGTATGAGCATGTAGTGAGCTTCGTGGAGTGATTTCGGATCAGGTCTGAAGTACTAAACTTGTCGCAGGTCTACTCCCTCAGAGTCATCAATTTTTTAAATTTACTTTATTCATGTAGTTGATAGCGATGAAACCGGGAGGGAGGATTTTTTTTTTTTTTGGGGGGGGGGGGGGATGGCTGGGCATACTTACAGTGGCATAGCGAGGGCTTGCTTACCTCTCCAAATCTGGTTTACATGCATCCCCCAACGGAGGGTTGAAGGATGGTCCGAACCTGGACCGAGAGATTTCGACGCAGTTTCATTGTGTGAATCGTGAGACAGGACGACTTTTTGCAATAAAAAGAACCATTTTTTCTATTAGATTTGTTTTGGGACGCCGAATTAAGGCAAACAAACTATTCTATTCTGTACCGATCAAAAGAATACAAAATTTATCACTCAAATGTGGATTTTCATCCATGTTGAACAATCGTAATCGCCGTGGTAGCAATATAAAAATTTGCGTTTGAAATTACAAGCGGCCGGTTGCACGCAGGCACCTAGATGCAGTCACCATTGCTGTATGCAGGCGTCGATAAACTAATTTAATCAAGCTCATTCCGACCACCATATTCCGAGACCGCACCTGCTTTCATTGCAATTTTCCTCTAGCCTGTTTCGTGCTATATTTTGCGTTATTGACAGGGGCTAGAACAATTCCCTTTGGATCATTTACTCAGAACTTCTTTCGATTGCTGTGAAAATATTGTTCTCTTACCAGCTAAAATTTTTTTTTTTCAAGGATGCTTTTTTTATAACTCCCTATGCATGTCTTAGAGACTTAGTTTCAGTTCAATTCTTTGGAAGGGTGGAAAGGAGTATTTACAAAAGTGTTAGTGAGCACAGCATGTCAGGACAGGAGGATGAGACCAAATGCAGTGTTCTCAAAATGAGGAGTCTAAAACAATATAAAGAAAATCTCGAAATTTCCAGATGAAGAATTAACGGTCCGATCTTCACAGAATTTAGGATAACCGCCTCAGCCAGAATTGACTCTGGCAGGCTATGGGATTTGGTGCTTCAAAATTGCTCTCTTGCAGATTTTTTGAGACTGTCATAGCAACGTGCATCTGATAAGCCTTCGAGCAGACTTTCTAGTTCAATATGTGCATGAACAAAGTAAAGCAGGAGTTTTTTTTATGTCTTCAGTGTACAATGGTGTCTTGAACAAAACCATGGGAATTTTCTATTTGTAACACCAAAAGTTTTGTAGACAGATACAAATGCCTTTAGTTTCTCTAAAATATGATTTCATTAATATGAGATAGAGATGTTTCACCTTTCCCCATACTTAGGGATAAAAATGAAGCTATAGGACATGTTTGGAGTTTCTGAAAGTAATAGAGTTGCAGCTGCCAATAAATATATTTTCTATGCCTTAATGGTCTTACCTGTTGAAAATTATCATTACTGCAAACATGGAACAGTTTGAGCAACGAAAGTTTCAAAAGAAATGACTCACTTTGAGCTTCACGTTAACCCATCTTCCCCAATAGGGTCTCAACCAAACAAGTTCTTAAAAATACCTTTTTGAATTTGAATCCTTCGCAATTTAATGTCCCATTATTAGGGGTAACAAAATTTCCTACCATACCTATCATTATTATCAGCTGAATTAGATGCTAGATATATAGCATATACCCTTTACTATTGCAGTAAAGTCAAGCAGGCACCTTCTCTGATTGTACACTGTAATAGAAAAAAAGTAGGTCCTGCGCCATGTGGTTGCAAAATATGACAGATAAACGAAACAGCACAAGTTACAAAGCTTTCATTGAAACTCCAAAGACAATTTTAAGGGAAATTCCCTTTTGCAGTAAGGAGTAAGACATTAAAGAGATCTATTGGTGGGAAAGAGTGGCAAGAGACTTTATTGAGGAAAATCTCCGAAGAGGAAGGGAAAGGTACCCTGGATTGAAGGAAAACATGTATTGCATTTGAATTAATGAACTAAATTAATGCCCATACTTGAGTCAGAGCAGCATAAGAAGCAGGAGCTGCAAAGCCAAAGTTTATCTTCAGAGTATTATATACAAAACGAGTCCTGGTAGAGAAAAATTAGCAAAGACACAAGGGGAGGATGAACAACTGTTGAGCACAAAGATAATACCTCAAGAAGGAAGTTGTTTCTTGCTACTATGGATCAAACCCACAAGGAAAACAGGTACTTTGAGACTGGTGCACTTGAATTCTTATCAGACACCACACAATGCTAACTGAAAACAAAATGCAACAATACAGTCAGAAAAAAAACTAACAGCTGTGCGGTGCTTTTCTGAAACCATCCTGTAACTCTTGGTTTGCACAGGAGGGATGAGGTCTGGGCTCTCAATGATCTGCCTCTCCATTTTCTCTTGGGTGGCTGCGGCTCCTACGTGGACTACGGGACGCAGAACGGGAGCGAGAACGGGATCTGGAGTAAGAGCGAGAGCGAGACCTCCGTGACCCAGACCTGGGAAGAAAAAAACCCAGATTGGATATTATATGGAAATCATTTTATGAAATATTCAAGTACAAGTTATTCCAATATGCTTTATAGAGAGCTCTTTTGGAATTGTCACACTTTGCTTCATGACTGAAGTGAAAATAATTTTTCATTAGCGTTTATCAACTGGCAAATTAATTAATGCATCCCCATCCCCCACAAGTGAATATATGAAAAATCATGTTGGGAACTGTATGATATGAACAAATTTACTAGATTAAAACTGCTAAATTTTGCATAGAGAAAATGAGAAGAAAAACACTTGCCAACATGCACTCAATCTCCTGCATCAGAGGACTGTTCCCTTTTTTATTTTTTAAACAAATTTATTGCTTATTTGCCCATCACGTACATAAGGGAATGCTGATGATAATGAAACAAACATTTTTTGTTTCATTATTACCAGGGAAAACAGAACAGATAAATCAAAACAAGAAAAAGCAGGGGTCACCAAAGAGTCAAAACTGAGAAAGAGAGCAAGTGGGAGAGGACAGAGGAGAAAGGCAGTTTGTTGAGATAATGTAAAAGAAGTAAACACATATAGGCATATATAAGTAGCATAGAATTTTTAAACAAGGAAACAAGAAACAAAATATATGCATAAATGGCTGAACAGAAATGGGTATGAGCTTCATGAATGGATCCATGGGAAAGAATGAACTTCAAGGGGAATTAAAATACAAAGGGAAAAAGAAAAGAGGGGGGGGGGCTAAACCAGACTTGAATTTCAGTAGCTAGGAGCCCAAGTTCAAGGATTTCATGCTTTAGTTAGGTTGGGCATACCTAAGAAACCTGTAGTTAGTGACCATTTTTCATGAGGACTGTTCCTAGCCTATACTAAATTTAATCTGAAAACTGTGCAAAAAACGATCATGGAAGTTCAGTTATTGCCTATGCCAAAATTAAGACTCAAGCTAAAACTGCATTCAAGAGGGGGAACATGTAGACTGTTCTGGCCCAAGCTTAAATGCCTGAACCAAGATGGACAAAGCAACAAAACTAATGCCAAGACAGCACTCATACTTCCAACTTGGCCATAAATCTCTTAAAACATGGATGTTGTTAAAGAAACTTGAAGTAAAATAGGAAAATAATAATCAAAACAATACCTTCCTTTTCATACACCATCACCTCACAGAAACAACTATCATGAGATGAGAAGAGAGAAAATATTAGACTTTTTGTGTTTTGCAAAGTTTTAGTTGTGATTTTAAATTTACTATGAATTTATTATGAAATAAATTTTTCCCCTAATGCATTAATACACTTGGCCAATGCTGTTGTAACTCTTGGAAGCATTGTTTAACCCTACAACTGTACCAGTATGGTAAGGTGTGAGTGGTCCCTTCACTCTCTGCATTGACACCTGCTTCTGCTATTACTAGACTCTAAAGCACTACTTAGGTACATGCAACTTTTAAATACTTACACTCACAGGTACTGCATGTTTTAAGCTCAAACTAAACACTGAGTATGCACACCCACGAAAATAATTTGGTCAGGAGGCACAGCAGTATGTAGTAAACTCTATCAAGAGGTTTAAGTTCTTCATCTGCAAACTCAAAGTTGTACTATAGTCACTAATTTAATTTAGTCAGAATTTGCCATAGCCAGTTTCAGCTAGTTTCACACATGCCATATTTAGGAAAAATAGGCATAGTACACCTAAAAAAAAAAATCACTTGTGCCATTCTTGGGTCTAAGCAAACATGAATTTACCATATGGGCCTCCTCCAGACTATGGGGACAACCTTGTCTGAGTTGAGTATGCGGATCACCTGAAGTCTGCTCAAAGTTTTTTTTTTTACTATCCTTCAAGAAATAAAGGGAAATTGTTCAAGCCCTCCATGGATTGGTGGAAAAAATTACTGAAGATAAGCCACTGTCTGGGTGCCCTCTGACAATGACTTCCTCAAAAATTGCATTGCTCCAGTCAGTGTTTAATACCCAGTTCCTCATCAAAGGAGAACTCCATGGAATATCTTCATTGGTGGGTGCCCAATGTCAATGATTGGTTGAGTCTCTGCTGTCAAAGGGTGCCAGGAATGGGGCCCATTGTCAAAATCACCTTTCTGTCAATTTAAGCAGCAGTAACAGTTGCACACCATTGCATAACAAAGTGGTTTGATCCTTAACCCTTCAAGCAGTTTTCACATGCACTGTACGATCGTCACTTACATCAGGTCAAAACTCAGCACTTGAAGAATTAAAAAACCCTGGATGTTTCATCTAGCCAAATGCCAGGTGATGAGGCTCTCATACAGCTCTAGGAAATTGTCGCACAAAGATGATGCATCAGTTCAACCAAGGACAAAATTGTTTCTAACAAGATGTCACTCTCAAATTCCACTAGGTAAACAGAAACATAAAAAACTTGCACAACCTTGCAGCAGCTTGAAAGAAAAACATCCTACAAGTGAGTAGGCCTTAACTCATGTATCCTCATTTGTAAGAAAGTCTAAAAACTTTTAGAGTGACTTATGTATGCACTCCCTTTTGTGTGTGATGGAATGGAAGGAAAAAGACCATTCTGTCCACTCCAGCCACCCACCTCTTATTTAAAAAAAATAAAATCACTTCCAGTTTTCCTGACACAGTGACAGGTTGGAGGTCAAAGTATTTCATAACATATCTTCACACCTTCCTAAGCTTAACCCTTCAGACCTGAATTAAGGCCACTATGGGAATAATTTTCATTTTTGCATTTTTGAGCTCTTTCATGATTGTAATGGAAATTTTCATGCTTTATGTCATTTTAATATTTTGTATAAATGTACCATATCATACCATATATTATACATTTAACTGAAGATTACAAAACAGATGGGTGAAAGAAGGCCTCTGATAGAACTGAGCCATGCATAATTGCACCCATTGTAGCATAATATGGAGCGCAAAGTCAAGAGAATCCTATGAAATTGCAATAGACACAATGTAAATGCAATGTCCATTGGAATGGATGCCAGGTCTGAAAGGGTTAAGAAAAAATCTCCAAGGCACTGCAATTTGATTGAACCACTCATGTGTACATAACCTAAGGCGATACTCACCTGGATCGAGATCTATTCCTAGAGTAACTTCGGGATCGAGAGCGGGAGTGGGTGCGAGATCGAGTATAACTTCGGCTGCGAGAGCGAGACCGGCTCCTGCGCGGGGTACGGGAACGGGAGCGGGATCTGCTCCTGTAAGCACATCATTTTGAGCATCAGCAACATCACTTTAGCAATTTGAGTGAAGAACTGCAACTTCCTGCCAAAAATTGCCTATTTCCATTCAATTATCACTCCAAAAGGTGAGTAGCATCAATGATTCACTCACTGACATGGCAGTGATTTTTTTGAGGAGTGTAGAAAGTTTTCACATAAAAGAGAGGAGACTCAGCTATCCTATTTGACAGCCATAAGCTGCAGAAAATTCATGACAAGATATTGCATAACCTTATGAGCATGAGAGAAGATGTAGTCATATGAAAGTGAATAAATATGCTATAGTCAAGATTCACACGCATATGTATTCGTGACATCTATGTTTCATATAGATGTCAACATGACCCATAAATACACACCTCAATGTAAAGCCATGGGTAATATACCTGTTCAGTTGCAAGACCACTTAAGGAACTAAAAGAACTGTTGATGCAAAACTCCAAGCACAAACCTCATCATTCTCTCATGCACAGAAACACCTTACATATCCAAATGCATGCTTCTATCAAGTGAAATACAATTGAGATTCTGGTGTCAGTGAATGTCTGAGTTGAGTGAACTTCAAGGACTGAACCAATTGGACAATATTAATGCTCAAGACTGCAGAGCAGAGTCTATTCAGGGTCTTTCTGATCGCTTGTATGCTAATTTGACAGGCAGGAAGGAATAAAAACCTGTGTTCTCTGAAACTCTATCAAGACAACACTGAAAAAAAGGAGCATGCCTTCCAACAAGAAGTTCTGTTGTCCAAATCCCCTTGCTTTAGGAATTAAAAGATTAAGTTTTGCTGTGCAATAGGTACACTCATTACTGTGGTAGTGTCAGTAAACAAAATGGTATTACCAACAGCACTGACATTTTGCCAGACAATGAGTTAACTTTAAATCGATCAACTTGTAATTGAAGATGATAGCAAGGGCAATGCTAGAGGTATAAAGTGACTAGTTTTGGATGAGCACATTGTTCTCACCATCAATACTGCAACCATCAACACCCACCAGTAATAGCTGATATATTTGAACAACATTTCAGAATATTTTTCATAGTTTGACTGATGAATATGCACAAAAGACAGGGAAACTTTTATCCCCCCTTTTCTATCTGTATATTGGAGTTATTTTTTAACCTTTTGTTTCCCACTAACATTCATTATTCCATTATCCCTGACCTGCAGCAATGTGCAGCAGTGCACATCTTCATGCATGATGGCACACCACTGCTGATTGAAACTCCTACAAAAACAATGCTCACAGACATATTTTGTGAAAGGGTCATCAGTAGACATTTTCTGACACAGATGCCTTCAACCAGATCACCAGATCCAAACCCAGAAGACTCTTGGTTGTAGGTATCTGAAGTCGCAAGTGTCTCTCAGCAACAGAACTGAAGGACACCATTCATTGAGAAGCGCAGTCCATTCCTGGTGACATGTTGAGAGCCATAGTCTGCAATGCTGGACATTGGTTGGATGCAGTTGTGTAGCTTGGCAGCGGTCATACTGAGCATTTCTTACCCTAAATACATGATGTTACACATAGTGCAACCACAGCAGTGCCCCATATGAGGCATGTGTTTGTTTTTTTTTGCATAAAGTTTTCCCAATGATGTACCAATACACTTCCAAAGTTTCACCAAGTTACAGTGCATAGTTTTGTTCTAGAATACATATAGTACACCAGCCAACTTCTTACAGAATCACCTTGAATAACAGAAAACTTTTGGAATTCTCCTTTAACTTCAGCAGTGAGCCTTGTACTGCCTGTTATCCATATCCTTAGAGATTCCTGTCATGGAATCAAAACTAACAGTTTGCGAAAGCATAAATTACCTATTCACCTGCAGCTCCCTCATACAGCAGTTGCTTTCAGTGAAAACCTGCTTTTTGGATGGATCTCTAAGTGATCTGTAACTATACCAAAAACGTTCAAAACTTGAAATGCTCTTGATTTTTCTCATTTTTTTAAAGTGTAATGCCCCCCCCCCCACAATTTTGAGCAAATCCTTGAGGGCTAGTAAAGTTTTGATAGTCAATATCATGCACATTTCTGAAAGCACCAAAAAGGCGTTTTTTGAGTGTTTCTTGCTGAGATGGATGAATTGGGGAAAATATGAAAAAAAAAATTAATTAGGTTCCTTATGCTTTTGCAACCAGTTAAGTATTTCCATTCTCTGTTTCTTTTTCATGTGTTTCATAATACCTTTTTTTTTGCTCTTGGGTAACCACCTCTGTTACCCTTTAAAGAAGAAGAAAAGGGAATGAGTGAATGATGAGACTTCAAACAATTTCAAACTTAAAAGAGCCAGTGAGAATGTAGGTTTATGAAACAAAGTGAATACAGAAATTTTCCTTCATATAAACTATTATCAATAGGCCAGTTGGATGTAAGGCTCATAATTCTTTTACCAAGGACAAGACCGCTTAAATGTAAGAATCTGAGACTATCTGTACATAGTAGGCTTATCTGTAAATCATTGTGCAGTAAGCCCTTGTCTTGAAAAAATACCAAGCAGAACAGCTGTGATATCAGCTATCATAAGAAAGTACCTCAGGTTTTCATTTTTATTTTCCTCATTGTCATTAAGGAAAAATGAGAGTCTATGGAGTCAAATGCAAAGGATACATATTCATACTATCAGTGGCATGCCCAAGGAGGGGTTATGGGGTTCATAACCCCCCCTCAGAATACATTTTATAGGTTCAATTCTCATAACTATTTTAAATTTAGCCATAAATACAGGGTGGGTTACCAATTTCTCATGTCAATCCCCCCTCTCTGACAATTGGGATTATCTGGGCAGACTACTGGATACTATGTAGAGAAAGCCAGTTGTTTATGAAGCTTCCCCAATAAATCTGATGAAACCTCTATGATGATTTAAAAAAAAAAAGTATTTTGAAAACTTTCTATGATGAAAATACCTCTTCATCTTCATCACCACACAATTTCCCCCCTTCAACATCCCCACACTTTGAGAGTACTTCCTCAACATACAGTGAAAGCCCAATATATCACAGCTCATTATACCACAGATTCAGATTATTCAGTTAAGGAATGTCCCCCCCAAAAAAAACAGAAACTTCATGTTAAGTTGATATGGCTTGGTTTTACATAATGTAGGAGAGAGGTATAGATCAAGGCATTCTACAGGGTGCCCAATAGAAAACCAAAGGATTTACAAATATTTAAAATGTTGACCGTGATTATCATGACACCTTCGAAGATGTGGTATCCATGATGCTGTAGCCCTGCAAATGACACGTGTATACTTGTCTATAGAAAACATCATTTCGTTGTTAAAGACGTACTAATTGCAATCCTTTGGTTTTCTACTGGGCACCCTGTATTATAAGACATGACCATGTGAGGGCATCCCTCAAGGTATGTAGGAGCAGGTATGCGGAAGGGTGCAGTCACTTGGAGCAAGGGATTTTCCCAGACCTGCTATGCGATATTGCCATGTTTTGTTATCCTGTCTGTGCTCTGTCTTCACTGGTTAATAATTAATACTAAAACACATGTATGAAACAATGGGCAACGCTGTGATTAATACATGGGAAACACCCTCACCAAGAGGGCATTTTCCATTATAACATGGGTGTTATTCATGTCCCCCTGTCACCCTTTTTATATTGGGCTTTCACTGTATTTCAAAATAATCCCTTTTTTAAAAGGTAATTTTGAAACTCATTTTGAGGACCCCCTTTATATATAGCATGTTCATATTTAAACAAAACATGGGAAAATTTTTTCCACCTGTTTGTGGAGTTCAGCAAATGCCTCATAGCTCACTTGGTTGCATATGTGTAAGGGGAAAAAACAATCACTGGTGTGTTTCCTTGCAGGTATGCAACCTGATGGGTCTTGTAGCATTAGCTGAACTCCACATACAGGCAGCAAAATATTTTCTATGTTGCATTTAAATATGAACACGCTGTACATATATCATGCTGTATACAAGGTGCAGAACCAGAGGTCCACCATTTATTTGACTTACAAACAGTTGTTTCATTAACAGATTTAAAATTTTCAATGTCTAAATTTATGGTATGTAATTACCCTAAAAGACCTCATCATATCTGATGCAATGGGAAACAAAGGGTTAAACCAAATTAAGGGCTATTCCAATAGGTCCATCATAGATGGTTAGATGCTGTTGAATATTTTGAAACGGCAGTTGCTGCCCTTCTATGATCTGCAGTCTTTCCCCTTCATTGCCATGATTAATCTTGTCTCTATAAAGTTCAGTCAGAGAGACCCAAAATAGCCTGCAGGTAGGAGACAACCGGTTTGGCTCAGCAGCAAGTTCATGAGGCCTAATGAGAGGCATCAAGAAATGGGGGCCAGTGCAAACATTCCTGCAAGATTGGCATATCTTGTACAGGTATGAGGGGGTTATATTTATTGTGAGAAAAACATTCTACCCTGATCAGAATGCTTTTTTACCTGAGACTCAGACTTACACTTAAGACTGATGAGCAATCCTCAAATATTGTGAGAAGTCTCTTCATGAAGTATAAGCAGACCATTAAACATAGAGTAGTATGACTAGATCAACCTGTGACGGTAGATCTGAGCTTTGGATCTGCAGAGGAGACATGTCATTCATTGAAGACGCTGTCTCATCTCTCAATCTCTTCTGGAGAGGCCAGTGAAGATCTTTCTCTCCCTTTCTTGTATTTCTTTTGTCTTTTTGGATGATCTTTGGAAGCGCAGTGAAGGCTGGGGTGAGCAGAGAGCTCACGAGAAGCATTTTGTTCTGGTCGATTCGACTGCAGGTTGCTGAAGTCTCTCTCCCAGCAGTTCAAACAAGCATAACATGATCTGAAGTGTCTCAGTCACGTCAAGAGCCTAAAACAAGTGTACACAGTCCAAGGTTGAGAGTCAAAGGATTTTTATACATTTATGTTTCCTGCCTGTATGGTGGTTCTGCTTGTTACAGTCAGGTCATCTTAAAAATACTTTTTATGCATCTGAAACCCCCAAAGAAGAACACAAGAGGTTAACATTGCTATTGATGAGAGCTCTGCATGATATGGAGGAGGATATCAGGAGAAATGGAGGGTGGTGTTGCAGTGAAAAGAAAAAAGTGATGCAGTGATTTCACTAATGAAACCAGCACTGGTATTCTGTGAAATAGGACAGCTACTGGATGATGGATGTCCTGGCACAGTTTAACCAAAATGAAGCTGTGGGACATCCAAAAATGATGGGTCTAAATTTTATAAGTGTTTCCATGCTCTGGACATAACTGCAATATGCTCATAGCAAAACAGAAACAAAAAAAAAGCATGAATTGTATGAACATATCTGATATCCTGGAGGATGCTCTAATATTCCAACTGATCCAAGAACTTTCCTATTCAGATGGCTGTTCCTCCAGTAATATTTTACATCTAAATATCTATCTCACCTGTAAGCTGTCTTGCCTGTGAATCTCTCACAGTCATAGGCATAGTGACCCTTGTGACCACATCGATAACATCGATCAGTGGGGTCAAATGGTCTTCCACGCCTGGGAGCAGGACCTCGGAATCGGCTTCGACTACGACCTGTTGATATTTCCACTCGAACTCTCCGACCAGCAATCCTCCTTGAAAAATTCAAGATGAATGAGTCCTTTCTTCAAAGCGTGCACTTGAGAAAGTAGGCATATTTGGCAGTTGCAAGGGAAAGGCATGGAAGAACATTACTCACTTTCCATCAAGGGCTCTTACAGCATCCTCAGCATCCCTTGCATCTTCAAACTCCACAAAGGCAAATCCAGGAGGATTTCTTGCCACCCACACATTCCTAAGTGGCCCGTAATAACCAAAGGAGTCCTCAATTTCTTCCTTTGTTGCTCCAGAACCTATTCACAGATGAGTAGAATGAGAAGCTGGCATCCAAAGAAAGTTTTCTTCCAGATAGGGCAAGACCAACTGAAAACACTTACTTAAATCTCCAATGTAGACCTTGCAGTCTGATGGGCCAGAATCTCTATGCTTTCTGGACATTTCCCTTAAACTATCAGAAAGCTAGAACTCATTCAGCACACACTCTTACATGCACCTGTGTCTCTGAACTGGAGGGAAAATGATTGTGAATGAGCTCATAATAGAGGTTCATATGATAACAGAATAAACCGATGGAAGTGCAGCCATAATCTATAGTCATTTAGATTCTGCTGAATCATTGGAGAAGAGGGACTTAAAATTCTCTATAGTGTAAGCCTTTAAACAAGTGATGTACACTGCTTTTGCTCTCGCCATCCCTAATTCTTTTACTGACGATCACATGAAAATTATCTACATAAGGATGGAAGGAAATAAAACTTTCTACTAATAATGCCAAAGGCAGCAACACACTACATAGAAGCTGACACATATGAGGATAAGAATGACTACCTAAACACAGTAATTAGCCAGATAAGTAAATTGACAAGCTGTAACCATCCTCTATCCCTAATTACACTCCAATCTTTCAAATGTGCTAAGAAGGCAAATAAGAACTGAACTGCAATGACTACAATTTCATATCAGTCTTCCATTGCCAAAACCTGCAATCCTTAGTTTCTGAATGCCCAAGTTTATAAGTTTCATTATGATTCCACAACTCCTCTTAAAGTGGGCACGGAAACTCTAATGCCATCTTTAAAGATTACAGTTGTAGTACAGAGAGTGAAATCTGGATTCAGTGCCAGTACATTTGACTTCTTATCAGGACAGTAAAGGATTTCAGGGATAAGAACTCCCCCATGTAAACATGGGACAGAAGATTCAGCTGAAACTTCTGGTTCAGGTTCTTCAGGAAGTATGGAACATGGACAAAAGATGCAATACAACTTTTCAAAGCAGATGCTACCAGATTTGTAGATATGGCATATATAAAAATGTATGCAGCAACTACAAGTTTGGGCCTATAACACAAAGTATTCACAAAGAAACACAAAAATGGGAGAAGACCAAAAATTGGCAGAAATATAGAAAATGCATACAATTTAATCATGGATCACAATCTTGGCATATGAGCAAGAACAAGGACTCACAAAAAGAAACATTTGCAAAAGACATCCAGAACTCTTCAAGAAAAATAATGGGGACCAGCATGATAAATAACCAAGATTACATTTCATATCCTGATGAAGCACAACTTGTAGAGTAGGGGTCAAGGGATCAAGGCACAGAATGGAAGACAAAGCCTCTCTCTCTTTCCAGATGACAATTCTTTTACTGAGGGATGCAGTTAGGTGTTAGATGAGCAAAAAAAAAAAGAAAAAGGAACTGAACACTTTCTACTGCTGTAAATAATCTCTAAATCATTAAACCCAAAATAAATGTTGCCGGCATATATTCAAGGATACATACTTCTTTGGTGAAAATATCAATTATTCCTAAAAACAGAATCCATTAAATTATGGACAGAGAAAATGCTTGGGGGGAATTCAGCATCTCTTATGGATTCAGGGAAGATATTAATGAAACTATTCATAAGCATGTAGCTATGAAATTTGACTAAAATCATTCAACTGCTTTCTCTGATTGAAAATGCTACTGAATATGTCAACTTTCCTCTACCTGTGATATAGCATAAACATAGCAGGAAAGCACAATGCTTGAAGAAGCAAAAGAAGGGCATTGGCTCATGTATTTTTGACAGTAAAAATCATTTTCTTTGCACATGAGTTTACTACACAAGAAATACGCTTGTAGGGAATCACTCAACAAGTCTCATCAAAAAAGTCTCTCTGGAAATGCTTGCAGAAGATTATGGCACAAATTCAAAAGATTACTTTTATTTTTTTGCTCACCCTAAAGCTTCCAATATCACACATCACATGAGCATGACCTTATCTTTCCAGATTTCAGGCAGGTTTCAATACACCATCACAAAGAATGCACAAAGCAGTAGGAAGGAGGTCAAAGTTGGGACTGGCAAAGGCATTGCAACGATTACAAACTCTGTAAGGAAATTCAGAACAGATCCTCTGAGAAGTAGAACATCGAGGAAGTTGGTGTCCATTTTTACATTTTCCCCATATATGGCTTTCCAACACAATACCTGAACTGCAAATGGGACAGGCCTCATCCCTTTCCATTACAGTATCAGATATGAGTGTTTTCTTCAATGTATCCAAGACTTTTGAGCAGGCAGGTTCATATTCTGGCAGCATAGCATTAATCCAGTGCCTAAGGAAGGGGAAGTAGCAATTCAAAGAATTCTTGCATTGCATAAATTCATCTGTGTGGGCTAAGAGTTCAGACATCCTTTGGACCATGGTTTTACGGAAAATGAATTTTTCCATCTGGGCAATTCCACTTATTTCCTTAGAAGAGGCAGCTCCACATTCAGCTTTCAAGAGTGTCAGCCACCTTCTCAGTTTCAGGGAAAGAATACCTAGTTCCTCTAAGGTCTCATCACCTATGTCTATGGTAGATGCACCTTCAGCACAGTAGCAAAGTCGCAAGTTCTCTAAAATGTCTCCACAGGATGCCAGCCCCTGACTTGGAGTCTCAAGGAGCTTATGAGTCATTCTAGCATCTCCAAACATCATGAAATACAACTGACATGGTTCACGAACAGTCAGGTGATCAAAATCAACAGCCAGCCTTTCAGCATATGCAAAGAGGGTTTGATTTGGAGAGGCTACAATGCCACAATAAGAGACAGTGCCTTTTTCTTGAAGGATCAAAGACTCAGACAGTAAGATCACATTTGAAATTGAGTCTCCAAGCTCTAGTTTCACCCTGTACAAAACACCATCACCAGAAGCAATTATGAATTGGAGATGAGGAAGGGATATAATCCCTGAAACAGGGAGTGAGCCCAAAGCCTTGGCTTGTTGGCTATGCAGCTGAAAGGAGCCAATGTCTGACACACACCAAGAGATAGAGGAAACAATGAGGAAATTGTTCTTTGCATGTATCACAAGAAATAGTAGACTGCCATCCTGGTGTTTCTTAATGAGATGAACTGAAGGGAATGTAGTTATCATATTATCTGATTTATCCCAAACTGATCCAAGGAGTTCATATCTGATTTCCTCAGGAAGCAATGTGAGGTTATAGGCTAGCAATAAGCCATTCTGTGACCCAGCCAGCAACACAAAGCTCCCTGACTCAAACTGGTAGAGACTCAAGGATGCAATGATGCCAAGATTTGTGTTCATGTATCCAATCATAACAACAGAATCCCTATATGAAAAGGGGAGATTCATTTTAAACACAACAACCATACCCTTTCGATTCCCAGCCAGGAGGAAACAGAACTCCTTCCCATTCTGATTCACCCTGTCACTCCAAGAAAAGCACTGAAAGGCTAGCATTGAGCTTCGAACTTCTATTTCTTCAAAGTCTCTGATGTCAGATGGTACCTTTCTATCATCTCCTTGTGCAAGGCACGAGTTCCAGAGTTCTGTTTTCTGCAACTGTTCTTCCCATGCTGCTGAAACATCACACATAACTGTCCACTCACTGCCATTCCTCATCCACAAGTGGAGCTGAAAATCATAAGTTAAGGTTGCAAGCACACATTCTGCATCACAGGTCATGGGTGGTGACCACTGCACAGTCTTATACCAGAAGCATGATATATCACCAGAACGTGTCCGTGGAGAGTAAGTGCGGCTTAAAAGGAGTTTGCAGAGCACTGTCATGTTCAGCGTATTGTGCAGATCACCACGATCAATATCAGTCTCCAGGCGGAGATTTGGTTCCTTCAAGTTTGGAAGAAGTGTTCGATTGAAAGTGAGACATGACTGGGATGTGTATGGACTCACAATCAATTGAAAAATATGTATACCCTTTGTAGTGATGAAAGATATGTCATTGTTTTCAGACCACTGAACAGCCTGTATTTCAGGGATTGAACCCTGAAAAGCTATGGACTGCACAGCCTGAGGCTTTTCACTCCAAATATTGTTCATGGTTCACAGTTCCTACCTGGAAGCAACAAAAAAAAACAAAACAATAATGTAGGTAATGACAGGATGACAATTTTGTATAAAATTATGAAAAGCTAACTTATTGTGAAACTAATGATGTCAAAACATTTTGCTCAACTTACTCAGTGAAAAGCAGCAGGCTCTCTCAAATTCCAAACTGGACCACAAGATCTTCCTTATGCTCCACTTTGATCCCAGTTATCGCATTTGCAATCCTCTCAGTGAATAAATTCATCTGAAAGAAAAGTAGCACCCACACACTGAAAATGGACTTAATGTACACCTGTCAAAACTATCCCCTTCTGGCAATGAAAAACAGGCAAAAGAGGATAACATCTTAGGACACAAGTATACCTCTTTTTAAGTGAAAAGAAGTATATACAAATAGTGTTGCAACCTCGAGAAATTTTAACTTTTCAATTTTTTTTCAATTGTATTTTGTAATTGTAATTGAAAAGTATAATGAAAAGTTCAGTTGGTCACTTTGGCTGCTCATTATTGCATTTCAGTCAAAATCTCCTCAGATTCAAAAAATTAAAAAAAAACCCACAAGATTTAGCAGGTGCACATGACCTCCCAAGTCTCAACTTCACAAATTACCAAATCACATTAACATTAGAGTGAAATTGGAGGTCTATAGCTTCACTATGGAAAGGATAATGAATGGTTTAGCTGGGCAAGGCTCAACTTTTTGGCTGCAAATGTTATGCTAGGCATGATGCTCAAGAGATGGCACTTGGGTGTATTGCAGATTATAGACATTTCAGCTTTTGTGTTGTGTCAAATTATTTTTACATAAGAAAGACACTGTTTCACTGCTGCAGTACAGTCTAATGAAGCTTCTGTCATTTGGATCATATTCCTGGATGGAGTCATTCATGCTTCATCAGGAACAAGCAAACAAATGGTTCAGTTGATGGCATGCCATGTAGGTTCCATGACAGGGACTCAAATTCAAAACTAACCTAGTCAGGCACTTATTTTCAAGTCATGCACTCACCATGGCAAGATCATCTTGAGAGATGGGTTCAATAGAGAGAATTTTCTCAATAGCAGGAATATCTTCCAGGGTTGATAAGACTCTTGGAGCAGGCCGTACTTTGGGGAAAGATTTCAAGTTGGTTTGGTTGGACAAACGATGGGAATACTGTTTGGTTCGATCAAGATACTCATGTTGTTCCACACTGTGTGTCTCCAAGGCAGACACATCAATGATATTCCTGAAGAATAAAAAAAGGAGGTCAGGCTATAATACGATAAAAAGGAAAGTAGGCCTACTAGTGATCGGCTTAAAAATAAAATAAAATCATCAATCAATGCAAGTGAGGTTCCAGAAGCCAAGGTCAAAAGAGCTTACGTAGCAGTCTCTCTCAAGATCCTCTCCAGAGCAGACTGCTCATCTGCCTTCCTCTTTGGATATGATGTCCCATAACCAGCTCCAGAATCATCCCTACAATAATAATAAATTGAAGCTTAATACATTTGCCCATGCCTACTGTCATTCACCAAAATCATGCAGGTAATACACATGCAAGGATCATGGGTATGACCAAGAAAGAAAACAATCCCACAAGAACTTCTTTGTGCAAATATGAAGTTAGCCTTTGTGCATAAAAAAATGGAGAACTCACACATATGAAGGATGTGATGGCACGTTGTTGCTCACTGGATTTCCAAGGAGCTGTGATCTCTCATTATAATCACCACCCTATTATAAAATAAGAGATTTTTTTTTTTTTTCCTGGTTTTTCACCTTGGGTGAAATTTCATCACCACCTAGACATCACTGGAGTTTACTGATGGTTTTTCTGAGAAATCTAACTGACAGGATATCATAAGCCTGCTAGATGTGCACTTTCAGGTGACTCAGAAAGGTTTTTTTTCTGATACTTCTGGATTGAAAAATCATCATACATATCTCAATGCTTTCATTAACCAAAGGTGATCTTTGCCTCCTACTTTTTGGCTCCTATGACAGAAAGTTAATGTCCTTGGCTGCATTGATTACATGATGGATGGTACCAACTGTTCTAATAAGACATAGCTCTGGCAATTAATTTTCTTCCGTATAGTGCTTGCGATAGAGCAAAAATTATTCCTCAGTTAAGAGGGCCTAGTTTGACATGTGTCTGGAAAAGGGCAATCATTAAAAAGTAAAAATGTCCATTTGAGTTGTCTTAAAGTTTAGAGAGATACACCAGGGAAGAACTTGGGTCTAACACCACTGCCCACCTATTGAGATTTGAAGTACAATACATCAAATGGTTACACTTCTGCAAACCCATCTTGCTGTCTGGCATGCTGCAGTTATATGAATTTCTGTAAATAGGCCTATTTCAACAGCCCCTGTAGGCCAGTTATCTGAAGATAATTGTTGAAATAGGATCTCTATAGTTCCTGTACCTCTCTTTTCAATATATGAATATGCTTTGGAAAGCAGAACCTAGATTTTCAGTTTGGGATCTGAAGTTGCAAGGGATCTACACCTCACCCCATTGGGAATTAAAGATTATGTGACCTTGAGACTTTGGCAAGGAATACCTTTTAGGGTTTTGAGCCACCTCTTTGTGAATGTGACATAGATGTAGGGGAAACATATCCCAAGTATAAGTGCTTGTCAATGTTATCAGTCTATGATCAAACTGTGTGTTCACATCTCTAATTTGGTGCATTCCAAGTGCCTACAAGGTTGAAGCTCCTCCAGGCTTACATTCACATCTGAAGTCAAAGCACAATCTTTATGCAATTTTTATCACAATTTATTGACTGGTGAATTTCTTTAGTCTTGATGCTTCTACTGAGCTGAGTAGCCAAATATTCAGTGAGAAACAGGCCCATAAAAAAAAACTTTCTATACCTCAATATGGAAATTGAATGAAGTAATGTTGACTTTCATGAGATAACACTCCTTGGGCCACATTCAAGACAAGGCTCACCATCCTATCATTTCACGACGAGTTCGCACACTCCTCAAAGAGCGTCGGCCCTAAAAAATTAACTCTTGGAACAAGAAGTTACCAGATACCAGTTCGCGTTATAAGTACGAACGAAGGAAAAGATAGTTCAGCTGATCTCAGAAGAACCATAGAAAACAACGGTTTCCACTTCAAGTGTGTGTGAACTCATCTCAAAATCACTGTAGGCCTATGAATAAGCTACAGAAAAAAGCGCCTTATACAATTAATTTACCTGTGAAGAGTCGTTGTCACTTCCGAAACAGCTTTGGCAGCATCCCATATTGGTCAATCCAGAACATATGGGTTAAATTAACATGGAATTGAAACTTGGAGAGTTTGTCGGCGGATTCATGTAGTAGGGGCTGGCATACGGCATGACATGAATGGCTCATGTGATGGCCATCACTGACAGTCTTCTAGTTTCGGTTTTACAATTCTAACATTAGATTCGCCCTTCTCCAAGTTTCTTACAGCCCTCACAATCTTTGAATTCACTATGAGAAATATTGTCACTCCAAATAAATATTTAACAAGAGAAACTCGTCAGATGAAACGAGAACGACAATTATCTCGAAATATTAGATGTGTGGTCGCAACCCATCAACATGTCGCCCTGCACGACAAAGGAAGGGAAGGAGTGGTTGTACTGCTGCCGCGAAATGTTTTAGCACCCATAGATATCGCAGGGGCATAACTGGAAGTGAGAGTAGGAATGGAAGAGGTGGAAAATGTTCGTGTTGTTGTAAGAGTGAGGCCCATGAATGAGGCGGAGGTACAGGCCAATTATGAGAATGCAGTGGAAGTGGATTCTGCCAAAGGCTCTTTGTCCCTCATGCCGCCCAACAAAGCCTCTGAACCTCCCAAGGTTTTCACTTTCGACTTGGTATTTGGCCCAGACAGCAAGCAGGTCAAAAGAATTAAGAGTTTCTTTTCCATGTTTGACATGGTCAAGGATAACATGAATATGAGCATGAGCTATCTGTCTCTCGTTGCAGGTGGATGTGTACAACTCAGCAGCCCGTCCAATCGTTGAAAATGTGCTTGAAGGATACAATGGCACAATTTTCGCTTATGGCCAGACTGGAACAGGAAAAACATTCACCATGGAAGGGGATCGTGCTGTTCCAGAATTGCGAGGCATAATTCCCAACTCCTTTGCTCATATTTTTGGGCACATTTCCAGATGTGAAGATAACAAAAAGTAAGGATAGGAGCTTAGGAGAATTTTCATGTGAGTGAATAAGCTCATTTGGGTTTCTTTTATTATGTGATCCTTGTGTAGATTCCCCCTTCCAAGTGCAGGCTTCATTTTGAGTACACTATTCTGATGAATAGAATTTAAATGGTGCGATGATATTTGGTCAGTTGAATGGTGGACTGATTTTCAAGAACATAAAAAGGTACCCTATTCCTGAGTGTATTTATGAGACAATATGAGGGTTGCCTGCAATGTTGAATCATACACCATTATGCTGGCTGTACTAATGTGAAGACAATGTGATGTGCAAATGCTAGTGTTTTTTCACTTGACTTTGACACTCATGCATGAGGAATGTTCTATGCACATGTGTCTGAGTCAAGTGAAAAACACTGTAATTGCTATTGACATTGAACTGGGATTCATGGCAATACAAAGGAGAGATGCAATTCAGGTACAGTAGTTCATTTTACTTTTTAACCATTTTAGGCTAGCATATCAACATAATTCCCTTTTGGATCTTTATGAGATTTGGATGCAATTCCTAATTCATGTATTTTTGAGGAATTATTAAGATCAATGGCTTCTTATTTAACATCTTCCTTAACTTTGGAGAAATTACAGAATTTTATATGCAGTCCAGGATGTTGATAGGAAAGGGATGATATCAATTTCAGAAGGGGTACCAGTGAAGTAATAAACATTGAGTTTCATTCATGGCCATGTTCCCATCCTCACCCTGATTTTGCAAGCAACATCTCTAACACATAAGGCTGAATCCCTCGATGAAATCAATTCTGTCCTGCAGGGGCCTGAGGCCCTTGGTATGCACACTGAGTAATGGCATTTGCATAAGGTACACATTATCAAGGTGTCCATATAATGAAGGATACCTGTTCCTCCTATTTGGAAAGTAGGGTATTTCATTGGGAGCTTGGTTGACCTGGTGCCTCCTTTCTTTGGCAACTAAACCAAGTACTTAATAGTTTGATTGCAGCAGATGGCAGCCATCTCACAGGGAACTAGACTCCCAGCACATCTGAATCCCTTTACCTCATTGGATGAGTTGAATTAAATTTGTTACTTATGAATAGGTAGCCCTAGGAATACTTGTTTTGCACCTGAATTTGCATCACACCTGATGGTATGACTAACCAATTTTCTGCTGGCATCTTCTTCATAGACCTTGTCTGAATTCAAGAGATAGAGATCCCTTGACTCTCACATCTGATAGATGAAGGCATAGTCCTATAACACTGAGACATGTATAACAAAGGAAAAACTCTGAGTTGCTTTTCCAACATTAACCATGCTAATTTTCTGAGTCATAGAATTCATTTCATTTGAGAACCGATGAACTGAATGGGGAAAGGAATTTGTTTAGCCAAATGGAAACACCTGTCCACTAAGTAGACCTTGGTAAACTCTCATCTTCAATTCATTTCTCCTACCTCATTTATGATTAAATGAACTTTTCTTTTTTCCTTGCAGCTTTCTGGTTCGAGTGTCATATTTGGAGATCTACAATGAAGAAGTGAGAGATCTCTTAATGAAAGGAAAGAGGACAAACTTGGAAGTGAGAGAACGAGCTGACATTGGAGTCTATGTGAAAGACTTGTCTGCTTATGTTGTCAACAATGCTGATGACATGGATCGAATAATGACTGTGGGGAATAAGAACCGTGAGACATCTTTCTTTATCCATTCAACTAATTATCTTCTAATGTGAAGTTGTATGAACTTTGTACATTTTCTGGAATCCTGTTGGACCTGCAAAGCAGGAATCAATGTTGACTGTATCTGCAATGTTCCATTAATGAGTTTGAGGATTTTCCCTATCCTACCATGCACAAGGCAATCTAAGCTTCTCCTAGTGGTCACATTCATGTAAAAACTTCATCAAATGCAAACCTCTAAGGCCCAAGTCCAAAAATGTCTGAATCAACTAAATGATAACATGAAGAAAAAGGCTAAAAATCCATAAGGCTGAAAATGTGAGAAGTCAGTTTGAATTCATTATATTGTGCCCCATGCTCACTTAGACAGTATTCCAATATAGGTGTTGTGGGATGGACGAAGATGAATGAGCACAGTTCTCGTTCTCATGCAATCTTCATGATCACAGTGGAAAGCAGTGAGAGGGGTGTAGATGGGCAGCAGCATGTTCGCATGGGAAAGCTAAACTTGGTGGACTTGGCTGTGGGTGTATTCTTTGCTTCTCAGCCCCTCACCAATTGCTGTAGTTCTGCATCATAATAGGCTTCATATTCTCAGGGCTCTGAACGCCAGAGTAAGACAGGTGCGACTGGAGAGAGATTCAAAGAGGCAACAAAGATCAACCTCTCCCTATCCACCTTAGGAAATGTGATCTCATCTTTGGTTGATGGGAAAAGCACTCATATCCCTTATAGGGATTCCAAGCTCACTCGCTTACTCATGGATTCTCTTGGTGGCAATGCAAGGACTGTTATGGTAAGCTCCCTTCCCTATTTCTCTTGTTTGCACCTGGACTCACTTCATGCAGCCATACTAAATGCAAGTGGATAAACTTTCTGGTACTTGTGCAGTTATTGAATGTATGATTCCTTCTGTAGTGTGCCAATGTGGGTCCAGCCAACTATAACTATGAAGAGACCCTGAGCACACTGAGGTATGCTAATCGAGCCAAGAATATTAAGAACAGAGCACATATAAATGAAGATCCAAAAGATGCTCTCTTGCGACAATTCCAGAAGGAGATTGAAGAGTTACGTCAGCAACTTGAAGAAGGTATGCCCAACAACAGTTATGAATGTATTTAAGACATCAAAGCAAACTTACTACATAAAAATGTACCATAGATTGAGAACTTTGTATGATTGACTCCCTTTTATGGTTGTTTTTTATACTTGTATTTGCTTTTAGGAAGTGAAGGCAGTGATGCAGAAGAACCAGGAGGAAATGAGGGAGAAGATGAAAGAGGACTGGAAAATGAAGGAGAGAAGAGGAAGAAGAGATTCAAAAGAAGAAGTAGCATACTGCAAATACAGGATATAATGGCTCAAATGGAAGAAGAGAAGAGATTATTGGCAGAGAAAAAGGACATGGAAGAAGAAGAGAGGCAGAGAATCTCTATGCAGCTCAAAAAACAGGAAGAAGACCTTCAGATAGCCCAGTACCTTCATATTGCATTCTGTACCTAAAACAGAGATGCATGACATTGGACAAGGATTGTTTCTTTCTTGATTTTAGATCAGAAAGGAATCAGCTACTTGGAAAGCTTCATAACCTGGAAAAGAAGATTATCATAGGAGGAGAGAATCTCCTGGAGAAAGCTGAAGAGCAAGAGAGACTACTGGAGGAATCTGCTCGAGAGCTCCAAGAACGAAAACAGAAGGAAACAGAACTCACTAAAGCAATAGGAGAAAAGGAAGTAAGTTTTCCTGTTTGAGTTTTTTCTCATTTGCAATATGGGGGACTCATCATATGCCTCCTCCATTCTCATTTTTAGGCTGAAAGACTGGATATAGAGGAAAAATACTCATCTCTGCAAGAGGAGGCAGCTGGGAAGACAAAAAAACTGAAGAAGCTATCACACCATCTCCTTTCAGTCAAAAGTGAACTGGAAGATTTGAAAGAAGAACATCAGAGAGAAATGGAAGGTTTGATGGAAAATGTGCGAGAGCTGTCTCGGGAACTCCAGTTGCAGTCCCTCATCATTGATGCCTTTATACCTCATCGATACCAGGTTCTTATTTTGATTATTGTCTGATTTGCCCAGTACTATAATACCTATGATTGATGAATGGAAAACTTCCCTTGCAGGACTTGATTGATGAGAACATCCATTGGAGTGAGGACATAGGTGAATGGCAATTGAAATGCGTTGCATACACAGGCAATAACATGCGGAAGATCTCGTCTCCCAATGAGATGTCCAATGCCAAGCATGTATGTCCAGAATCTGTCACCCTTTATTTTATTGCTCAATGAAGCATATGATGTGGTGTGCTTTTGCATCCTGATACTCTTAGATATTTGAACCAGACCTTTCTTCAGTGTATCTGTCCTACACACCTGATGGACCACGAAACCCTGTCCGTCCCAAGTCACACCGTCCCAAGACAGCTGCTGGCAGGCCAAAGTCCTCCAAAAGATGAAGGCTCAACTTGCAGCCTGCACTGTTCTTTTTACTCTATTGTTCTACACTCATGTGGTATTTCAATATATCCTGGGAACCCTAAACATCCTAAAATTACTGATCTCATACTTCCACTAGTACAGAATGGTAGATGGGTTTATTTTGATCTAAGGGCATTTCAGAAAAGGAAGCTCATTCTTGTTTGTTCTTCACTGTGTTACTCCTAGTCCATCACCAATGAATCTAGTGCAGTGTGATAAATGAATATTTTTGTGATCTCATGCATCTCGTCATATTTATTTCATATTCACCAAGTTGATCTTGGTTCTCCAACTGTGTGTAATATTGAATAGACAAGTCTATTCTTTCTTTCTTTTTATCCTCATATGTGAAACTTTGTGTTTTAAATTATATCTTAAAATTGAAGCTGCTCCCCTTTCATTTTTTCCAGCAATTTGATTGCTAGGCTTGCATCACTGCAAGTTGGGTAAATGGCTGATGCAAAAAAATGTTCACTTATTTGAAGTGTAATTGCATTTAGTTGAATTCTTTGTGATTTTCAAGCTTAATGCTGACCTGGCTGATACTGAAGTGATCTTTTAATTGTAACTATGTTTTGTGTTTTGGAGGGTTTAGGAGCCACCCCACCGCTAGCAAATTCTCCCTGGGCCCACCACTTTATTCAGCTAGAGTTCAAGAGTGTGCAATGATACTACTTGAATTGTATGCAAGAATAGTTTATATCTCTTTTTACAGGGTTAGTCAATAATCTGGAATGAAGGTGGAAAATTAATATTTTTTGTCTCTTTTTCAATGAAAATAGCACTGACAAAGTGTTGAAGTGATACTTTTATATGAAAATGGAACTGTGTGAGAAGTTCCTGAGATATTTAACGACAATCATCAGGACTGTCTTCCAATTTCTCACAGTGCTATAGTAAAGTTGGTGTCTAAGTTCAGAGAAACCAGCTATGTAATCGATAAACCATGGAGTGTACAGCCCTAATAGCGACTGATGAGGCAATGATCACTATTGTGTTGGAGAAGTTCTTCCTCAGTCCAGAGAAATCCACTATAAGAATGTCATTGTGTGAAATTTGAGGATGGTCCTGTTGATTGTTGTTAAATATCTCAGAAACTTTCCACGCAGTTTCACCTCTGTGCAAAAGTATTCTTCAATACATTAATTTGTCAGTGCAATTTTGTTTGAAAAAGAGACAAATAATAATAATTTTCCCCCTTCATTCCAGACTTTTCTCTAACCCTGCAGAAAGGTTGTCCTTCTAAATTAGCTCAACCTTCAGATTGTGATCATACAATGGATTGCTGTATCCCTTCACCATGTTGTATAAATCTATTGTGGTCCAAGAATGACCAACAACATTTTTCTATAACCATTTTGAATGGAGATCTACTCCCAAATTCGACTTTTGAGTTGTTTGCAAAATCCTTGCCATTTCAGGAATTCATTTGTAGTCATAATTTATTTTTTAATGGGAAGCCAGATATATTCACTGGCTTCATATTTCTCACTTTTTCCCACATCTTTTCTGTATGGTATGGTCTGATAATAAAAGCTGATTCTCAGCATATGCAATGCATTTTATCTTTGTTCCATAGTTGCAATCTAGTGTGTATGTTACTGATAATCTTGCATTTGGAGAGGTGGCAATTTTAAACTAGCCAAATTGGTATTTATCTGAACCCCTTAATATTCAGAATCTATCTTAGTGGATTACTTGATAGTGGCCTTAGTTTCTTTCCAGATAATACCCAAGACCTACCTCGAACTCTAAATGACCCCTTTATCTCTGTTCCATTACGTGTTACTTGCAGCATCGCGTGACAGACATGCTCAATAACTCCACGATGACAGCACGGCCGCCTTTCTTCAGGATTGGTAGTAATTTTTCTCAGATCCTCTGCGTCTCCAAATGAAAGCTTCTCGGAAGAGGAAGACGCTGTAGGTGAACGGCCATTTCGACAGTTCGACAGTTTTCTTAGGCAATTTCATTTGGATCGGAGTTCCAATATTCGTGTGTGCCTTTTAAGGCCATATGTTTCGGATATGATTATAGCTCATCACATCGCAAACATGGGACTTATGATAGAAATATATTTAATTACCCGCCAATAATAATGAACTTGTCGCCAAATATTTTCAGCCCGCAGAAATATTGGTTCCGTCACCAGATCACAATGAATCTTCACCAAATTAGAGTCAGTCACCAAATATGATTGCGCCATCACGGGTGCTGGTATCGCCAAAGTTGCATTAGCCTGCACCAAAAATAAGTTCTCATCAAAAGTATGAAAATTTCAGCATTTGCAACCCAACAAGGAAAGGATTTTTCTTTATTTTCGGTCAGACCTGTGATGACAAGATGAGATAGTAAGATCATATCAGGCTTTGAGGGACCTTCGGGGTAGGACCTATGGTCTCCTTGCGCTTGTGTGCATGTACGAGAGTTCAGTACGGCGCTGACTTCCAGTTTATGTGTGCTCTACGTCCCACACAGCACAGGGATGTCCCTAACTGGACGACTTGTCCCCATGTCTTTATAGGATATCCTGAAGACATCTCCTTTCGGACGGTTTCGGACATCTCGCAAGGGATGTCTACGGGACGTCTTTTAGACATCTTCAGTCAATATCTTAGAGATATCCCTTTCAGGATATCTTTAAGACATCCTTAGTCGAATGCTTCTGGATATCCTGGAGGGGATATCTTGAAGATATCTTCAGTCGAACGCTTTTTGATTCTTTAAGACATCCTTAGTCGAATGCTTCTGGATATCCTGGAGGGGATATCTTGAAGATATCTTCAGTCGAACGCTTTTCGATATCTTGAGGAAGATGTCTTAGGGACATCTTAGGGATGTCTTTAGGCATCTTCAGTGCTCTCTGTCGCCTTCAGTCAGGTGCATAGCTTCGACGGTAGATGTCTCCCGTGAGCCCTGATCTGCAACCTCAGATCTTTTCTATCAAATTAATGTACTTGATTTTTCTTGAGGATTAGTAAGGATATTCGTACCGGATATCAGGAAAACTACCACTAGGAAAAGTGAAAAAATTTCGGTCCGAATTTAAATTTATTCCGTTATATTCTGTTTAATAATGTCTGATCGGTATGTCTGGTTACAACTATATTGGTTGGAGGCCTGAGCCCAGAGTGTTTGAAAGGCATAAGACTGCATCATATCATCCATGGTCTCTTCTGTAAAAGTGCTAATTGTCGTCCCTTGGAGATGTGTCTCCTATGTTGGGGTCCCCTTTAAAAAACGGTATTTTCCTCCCCCTTAATCGTCACTCTTCAATCGATCAAGAGCTTTAGATTAGGTGTTCCTAAATAAAATATTGATATCTACGAAAGCAAAGGGTTCTCTGTGCGATAGGAAATGAGTCCATTGCGGATAGGAAGGCCCCTACAAGTACTACCTGGGACTTCTCACTTGTCCCAATGGGATATCTCTGGGACATCCTTCGGATATACTTGTGCTACAAGAAAGAGACATCCTTGGGATGTCTTTACCTCCTGACTGTGATATCCCTGAGATGTTCCCACAAGTAATGTCTAGGACTTGCCTCAAGGGGATATCCCTGGGACATCTCTGGGATGTGCTATTTCTTCAAGAAAGGGACATCCTTGGGATGTCATTGGGCCCAGACATTTTGATATCCCTAAGATGTCCCTACTCCTTGTCTCTGGGACATCGCACTTGTCCCAAGGGGATATCTCTGGGATATCTTTGGGATATCCCTGTGCTGTGTGGGAAGTCATTCCCGGTGCAGCTCGACTCTCGACCGTTTTTCCTCACCTCTGACTCTTCACCTCTTTCGTTCCAGTCGGTGAACGTTTTTCTTTAAAGTCTGTCTAATGACTCTGATGGTGTCGGTGGACGCGAGGCCGCTCGTCGAGGTTTTCTTCGAATTCTTCTAAATCTTTTTAATCGCTGTTAACTGCTTATCCAGATATTTTTACTCAGAAAATTCGCTTCCCACACAGCACAGGTATATCCCAAAGATGTCCTAGAGATAACCCCTTGGGACAAGGGTGAAGTCCCAGGTAGTACTAATTGGCGCCTTCCTATCTGCATGGAGTCATTTCCTACCGCACGGGAGAATCCATTGCTTTTGAAGATGTCTCTATTTGACGTAGGAACACCTAATATTAAGTTCTTGACCGATTAAAGGGTGGCGATTATGGGGAGGAAAATCCTGTTCCGAAATGGAGAATAGAAGACACATCTCAAAGAGACGAAATTTAGCACCTTTACACGAGGGGTCATGAACGTGATTGACTTAGCTTTACGCCTTTCGCAAAGTACGGGCTCAGGCCTCCAACCAAGATAATTGTATCCAGACATGCCCATCACTCATCATTAAATAGAATATAGCGGAATAAATTAAAACTCGGACAGCAATTTTTTCACTTTCCCTTGTGGCAGTTTTCCTGATGTACGGTACGAAAATCCTTTATCATCCTCAGGACAAATCAAGTAGATGAATTTGATAGAAAAGATCTGAGGTTGCAGGGCAGGGCTCACGGGAGACATCTACTGTCGAAGCTATGCACCTGACTGAAGGCGACAAAGAGTACTGAAGTTGCCTAAAGACACCCCTAAGATGTCCCGAAGACATCCTCCTCAGGATGTCGAAAAGCGTTCGACTGAAGATGTCTTCAAGATATCCCCTCCAGGATATCCCACACAGCACAGGGATATCCCAGGGATGTCCCTATCTGGACGACTTGTCCCCATGTCTTTATAGGATATCCTGAAGACATCTTCTTTCGGACGGTTTCGGACATCTCGTAAGGGATGTCTTCGGGACGTCTTTTAGACATCTTCAGTCGATATCTTAGAGATATCCCTTTCGGGATATCTTTAAGACATCCTTAGTCGAATGCTTCTGGATATCCTGGAGGGGATATCTTGAAGATATCTTCAGTGNGGGGGGGGGGGGGCAAAGCTTGGCGTCCTTTGAAAGAAAAATTTTTCTCCCTTGACATTGCTCGGGTGGGGTTTTGCGCCCCCGCTCTGCTGCTTGACTCTTCAGCCAAAATAAGTTGCTCCCAGCCTAACCCACACAGCACAGGGATATCCCAGGGATGTCCCTAACTGGACGACTTGTCTTCATGTCTTTATAGGATATCCTGAAGACATCTTCTTTCGGACGGTTTCGAACATCTCGTAAGGTATGTCTTCGGGACGTCTTTTAGACATCTTCAGTCGATATCTTAGAGATATCCCTTTTGGGATATCTTTAAGACATCCTTAGTCGAATGCTTCTGGATATCCTGGAGGAGATATCTTGAAGATATCTTCAGTCAAACGCTTTTCGTTATCTTGAGGAGGATGTCTTAGGGACATCTTAGGGATGTCTTTAGGCATCTTCAGTGCTCTCTTTTTCGATATCTTGAGGAAGATGTCTTAGGGACATCTTAGGGATGTCTTTAGGCATCTTCAGTGCTCTCTGTCGTCTTCAGTCAGGTGCATAGCTTCGACGGTAGATGTCTCCCGTGAGCCCTGATCTGCAACCTCAGATCTTTTCTACCGAATTCATCTACTTGATTTGTCCTGAGAAAAAGTAAGGATTTTCGTACCATACATAAGGAAAACTGCCACCAGGGAAAGTGAAAAAATTGCTGTCCGAACTTTAATTTATCCCTTTATATTCTCATTAGTGATGTCTGATTGGCATATCTGGATACAACTATATTGGTTGGAGGCCTGAGCCCAGAGTGTTTGAAAGGCATAAGACTGCATCATGTCATCCATGGTCTCTTCTGTTAAAAGTGCCAATTGTCGTCTCTTGGAGATGTGTCTCCTATGATAGGGTCCCCTTTAAGAAACGGTATTTTCCTCCCCTTTAATCGTTTCTCTTCAATCGATCAAGAACTTTAGATTAGGTGTTCCTAAATAAAATTTTGATATCTACGAAAGCAAAGGGTTCTCCTGTGCGATAGGAAATGAGTCCATTGCGGATATAGGAAAGTAAGGATTTTCGTACCATACATAAGGAAAACTGCCACCAGGGAAAGTGAAAAAATTGCTGTCCGAACTTTAATTTATCCCTTTATATTCTCATTAGTGATGTCTGATCGGCATGTCTGGATACAACTATATTGGTTGGAGGCCTGAGCCCAGAGTGTTTGAAAGGCATAAGACTGCATCATGTCATCCATGGTCTCTTCTGTTAAAAGTGCCAATTGTCGTCCCTTGGAGATGTGTCTCCTATGATAGGGTCCCCTTTAAGAAACGGTATTTTCCTCCCCTTTAATCGTTTCTCTTCAATCGATCAAGAACTTTAGATTAGGTGTTCCTAAATAAAATATTGATATCTACGAAAGCAAAGGGTTCTCCTGTGCGATAGGAAATGAGTCCATTGCGGATAGGAAGGTCCCAACAAGTACTACCTGGGACTTCTCACTTGTCCCAATGGTATATCTCTGGGACATCCTTCGGATATACTTGTGCTACAAGAAAGAGACATCCTTGGGATGTCTTTACCTCCTGACATTGTGATATCCCTGAGATGTCCCCACAAGTAATGTCTAGGACTTGCCCCAAGGGGATATCCCTGGGACATCTCTGGGATGTGCTATTTCTTCAAGAAAGGGACATCCTTGGGATGTCATTGGGCCCAGACATTTTGATATCCCTAAGATGTCCCTACTCCTTGTCTCTGGGACATCGCACTTGTCCCAAGGGGATATCTCTGGGATATCTTTGGGATATCCCTGTGCTGTGTGGGAAGGTAATTTTAACTCTCAAATTTTAACTATGTGGCGAGAGAGAAGACAAATGTCTCGTTACTCCTCTCATGTGGATCCATAA